ATTTTTATCTTCCTTCCTTTCCTTATACATGTCTTTCCATATCTCAATTTTTAGACACTATATAAACCGCTCACCATGAGAGAACCTTATCATTCTCAACTTCTCACAGTTTTGATTTCTCTCATTCTAGGGTAGGCTTATTCCTCTTGTGTTGTTGTTTTTTTTTTTTTTTTTTTTTTTCATCTTTTGATCTTTGCTTATATATATATATATATTTTTTGTAGGCGAGATGGCTTACTTCAAGGATGTCTCCTCCCCCTCTGGAAACGCCGAGTTGGTGATTTGCGAGTTTGAAGGTCAACCGCTGGACAAGGCGACTCGTCTATTGGTGCATCCACCACTCATAGGACGCGGAGCTGCTCGCCCTCGCTTGGAGGTCCCAAATTTTCCAAAGACGTGGTCTCGGAATGTTGCTGGCGGAAAGCATACTTTGCAATCCTCACTTCATCAACATGTGTCAAACGATGTTCTTCCACTTCCAACCTTGGGGCGGCGGATCATGGATGGGGCGTGCGTTTGGAATGGTCTTCCTTCTTTTGATGGCAACTTTTCGTACGTGGCCGGCTATTGGGAATGGGCGGAGGATGTGCTGGATCGATGCGAGATTCCACTAAAGAGAGGATGCATTTACGATGCGGTCTATGCTTCCTTGTTCTCCTACGACTATTCTCCGGAGATCGTCAAGGCCGTTTGCGAGGCGTGGTGTCCCAAAACCAACACCCTTTTGACTGCCGCCGGTGAAGTGTCGATCTCTCTCCGTGACTTGGCGTCCTTGGCGGGCCTCCCCATACTCGGCTCATTTTACGAAGAGGTGGTACCAAGCGCAAAGGAGCTATATGGCAGTAAAGAGGATAGGAAGCTGGTTCCCCGTTCGTGCCGATACCTGTTGCATGCCTATCACCTTCTTCGGAGTCGTGACAAAGGTCGACGTGGCGTCCGCACAACCGACTGGATTTCTTTTTGGTGCGAAAAGACCGTCAAATACGAGCGTCCTCAAATTCGTCGTGGCAAGGAGTCTACTCGTTCTTCTCGGCCTGATGCGACTTACAATCCTACCGGAGAGATTGGTGCCCACGAGCCATGGTCGAAGGCGCAGGAGTCATCTTTTGCCAAACTCAAAGTTGGACGAGAGCACCTTGAGGAGACTTTTCTCGCAGCGTTCCTTTCTTGTTGGCTTTGCATCTTTGTGCTTCCGCTCGACGATGTTGGTTTGATACGTCCTTCGACTTTCAAGATGGCAAGTGTCCTAGCGTCGGGATTTCCAGTAAGCTTGGCCATTCCAGTCTTAACCAGTATTTATAGGGGGCTAAACCAGATCGCGGATTCATCATGTCCTGGGAAAGTTCGGTCGACAATTCCTCTCCACTTTTTGACCGGATGGATCGCTGAGTATTTTCAGACCCACTACGGCGTATGGAAGGGAATCAGTGGTCCGGGGATGGTGAAGCACTCCGGGGCTGTTAGTGCTCGTGCGTATAGAGCAGATGTTGCATGCCGAAAGATTTTACGCGGTGACTACTTTCGTTGGGCTTGCACCATGATCACGAAAGATTTCGACGTACGGTTTGTTGATGACGGGAAGCGCGAAGACTACGAGCAAGAATACTTCATCTCCATTCGCTCTTGTTTTCTGACTTTGCGGGATGGATTTCGATGCTTCGTGGAGCCGTATAGTCCCCACCGTTTTTGCCGTCAATTTGGTTTTTTCCAAGAGATTCCCGGAGTTCTTTTGAAAGACGTCCGTTGCTGCGCTTTTGAGGAAGGCTATCAACATTGGCACCAAAGTACTTACTTGAAATCTTCAGCCGAAGTTATTCTTCCACGCATTCCTGCGATTCCGAGGGGATTTTCTTCCGACGTATACAAGAAGTGGTGGACTCAAGTTTGCGGGTCTTTCTTGGATAAGTATATCCCGCCGGTACAAAAGACCACCGATCAGACCAAGCCATCGGATAAAGCTCGAAAAATGCCGCTACTTATCTCGGGTGTTCCTGAGAGGAACAATGGAAATTCAAGTACTCACAATGTCGGTTCTTCAAAGCGGACGGTACCCTCGGTCTCTGAACGAAGCAGTAGTGAGCATGATGTTCATTGGAAGCGAGCTCGTCGAGATCCTCATATCATCAACCCGTCAAGTCCTCGTTCGAGCCGACACCATTCTTCGAGCGATTTCGCGAGAGAGGTAACTTCTATCTTTTTTTTTTTTTTTTTTTTTTAACATGATCCGTTTTTTTATCCCCTTTTTCAGTTGGAGCAAAGAATCCCGAGTATGGATGAAAAGATGGCGAGCCGAGATTCTATTGTTGAGGTGATTGGAGAAACTAGAGGTGTTTGCAATAAGCAAGTAAAGGATGCTCCAACCAAGCCAATAGTTGTTCATTCCGTTGTGCCCGCGGTTTCAGAATTCTGTGGCGCGAATTTTGTGAAAGAGATCCAACGCGAATATATAGGAAAAGTATGGTCGGATCTTCGGGGTAAGCTTTTGAGGACACCAGCTCGTTTGCTTTCCTCGATTAAGGACGAGGTTGATGTAGTGCTCCAATCAATGAAAAGCTTTCAGTATTCTGACATTTCTCATATTGAGGGCCGAGTCAAGGCCCTTTTTGATGACGCTGCATCTTTTGATGAGGCATGTTCTGACTCGATCGACGCCGTATCCTTAGCCGCTCGTAACCAACAGATTTCCGAGATCAAAGATCGACTGTCGCACCTTGAGACGAGGCATGTTGAGGAGTGCGAAGCTATTAAGGAGTTAGAGGGGTGTGTGGAGAATATTGACGTGAAGCTTCGCTCTTTACAAGAGCAAAAAAGAGAGAATGTTTCCCTTATTAAGCGACGTCAAGGAGTTAATGAGAATATCACCATTCAAATTGCTGAAGTCAAGGATGAACTCGCCGCTGTAGAGAATGTCCCCGCGCAAGACGAAGAATACTTAAAAAGCTTAGAAGAGTTGTTGGATATTAGCAAAGAAGAGTTGTATAATCTTAATGTTTAAGATCAATTTGTACTCTTCATTTTGATTGCCAATCAATAAATTTAAATTCTCTCTTCTTTTTTTTTTATATATATATATTTTTTTTTTGAGCATTTTTTTTTTTTCACCCAAATCCTTTATCACTTATTTATTTATTTCTTTATTTATTTGACTGAACTTGAAGGTATATCTCAAGCTGCCTACGTACCCGGTAAAGGGATCAAGTCATAACGTAGTTCAAAGCAACTTGAATTTGCTTTTATTGTTATTTTGCAGTTTATCCTCATGCTAAGGAGTCTTGATTTGATTTGAAGGTCTCACGCATAATATCTTTTGAGGAACCTCCCGTTGATTGGCCCTATCCGGAGTCCGTCTTGAGATGTCAACTTGTATGCACCATTCGTGTAAACCTGAGTGACAACGTAGGGTCCATCCCACTTGGATAAAAATTTATTTCCCGAACGAAAGTTGATCACAATGGGCCTTCTCACAGCAAGAACCAAGTCCCCAATTTGAAAGGATCGTGATTTGACTTTTTTATTGTAAGCTCGAGACAATCGTGCTTGATAACACTCCAGTCTTTGTTGAGCTTGTAGTCTTTTCTCGTCGAGAGCCTCTAGCTCTTCGAGTCTTAATCTGACATTTTCTTCAGTCGTCAATTCTTCCTGGAGAGCAATCCTTAGTGAAGGAATTTGTCTTTCCAATGGGAGGACAGCTTCGACCCCATATACAAGTGAGTATGGTGTCGCTTGTGTTGGAGTGCGGAATGTAGTACGATAGGCCCACAAAGCTTCACCGATGCGGTCATGCCAATCTCTTTTTGATTTGGAGACAACCTTTTTCAGCAAGTTACAAAGTGTTTTATTGAATGCCTCTGCGAGTCCATTTGCCGGTGCATAATACATCGAGGACTTCTTTTGTTGAAAGCCAAACTTTTCACAAAGCTTGTCGATGTGAGTATTGGCAAAAGATCTTCCATTATCAGTGATGATACACCGAGGAACCCCATAACGGTAAATGATGTTGACTCGTATGAAGTCAGCTACCGTCTCCTTTTTGACTTCTTTCAAAGGAACTGCTTCTGCCCATTTGGAGAAGTAGTCTGTTGCGGCCAAGATATAGAGATGTCCAGCGGACGACTTTGTGAGTGGTCCTACAACGTCCATGCCCCAGGTATCGAATGGCCACGAAGCAATAGTTGGGTGCAATGGTTCCGGTGGTTGATTGATAAAGTTAGCATGAAATTGACACGGTTGGCAGCTCCGTGCGAATTCTATACAGTCTTTAACCATGGTTGGCCAATAATACCCCATCCTCTTTATTCGGAAGTGTAACTTTGGGCCAGCTTGATGAGCTCCACAGATTCCGGCATGAGTTTCCTCCATAGCTTGTTTGGCTTGATGATTGCCGAGGCATCGAAGGAACATGTTCTCGAACGACCGACGATAGAGTATGCCGTTGAAGTAGGCGTAGCGTGCAGCTCTTCTTCGGATATCTGCTCGTCTGCGCGGGTCACTCGGGAGCTTGTCATATTTTAAGAAATCTAATATTGGTTGCCGCCAATCTTCTTCTTCTTCTTCAATTTCAAACACCTCGATGAGGTGATTTACTTCTTTTTCAACACATTCTTCTTCTTCATACTTGCAGGAATCCACCCAAACTTTGCGTATCGGAATATACACCTGTTGATCCGGGATGGATAGAGTCGATGCCAATTTAGCCAGGGCGTCAGCTTGCCCATTCTCTTTCCTTGGGACATATTCAATAGAGACATCCCCGAGCAACTCAATGAGTGCCTTAGCATACTTTAAGTAAGGCATTAGTTCTGGTTTCTTCACTTCAAACTCTCCAGTGATTTGATTTACAACCAGCTTGGAATCCCCGTATACTTGAAGTTGGCGTTGCTTGATATCTACCGCCATTTTTAGGCCGAGGATGAGTGCTTGATACTCAGCCACATTATTTGAACACTTTTCTTTTAAGGCAAAAGAGTATGGAAGGACTTCTCCTTGTGATGTGACAAATATTACTCCGGCTCCAGCTCCATTTTTGTGTGATGAGCCGTCAAAATACATTTTCCATGGTGGGGTGATTTAAAAAGCGCGTCTTCATCAGGGAAGTCGTCAGACAACTCCCATTCAGCGGGGATGGGATGATCAGCAAGGAAGTCAGCCAATATTTGTCCTTTTACAGCTTTCTGTGGTACATATATGATTTCGAATTGTTGCAGCTGCAGGTACCACCTCGCAAGTCGATCAGAAAGGACAGGCTTTGACATGACATATTTCAAGGGATTTGCTTTGGACACCAACCGGATAGTGTGCGCTTGGAAGTAATGCTTCAACTTTTTTATGGCGAAGATGAGCGCCAAGCATATCTTTTCCACCGGTGAATAATTTAGTTCATTTGGTGTCATCATTCTGCTGAGGTAGTAGAGGGCATTTTCTTTCCCTTTATTGGCTTCCTGTGCTAACAAGGCTCCAACTGAACGCTCTTGTGCAGCGATGTAAAGCGTCAACGGATGTCCAGGAATTGGGGCTGTCAGCACTGGTGGTTTTGTCAAGTAGTCTTTGATACTTTGGAATGCCTTCTTGCATGCTTCATCCCAATGGAAAGGCACTCCCTTCTTCATGATTCGGCTGAAAGGTTGACATCGTCCAGCGAGGTTAGAGATAAATCTTCTTATATATGCTAATTTTCCTTGTAAGCTTTTTAGCTCGTGGATGTTACGAGGCTCAGGCATTTTTGTGATGGCATCTATCTTTGCCTGTTCAATCTCAATTCCACGACTATGGACAATGAATCCGAGGAATTTTCCGGAGGTGACTCCAAAAGCGCATTTGAGAGGATTCATTTTTAATTGGTAGCGCCTCAACCTTTCAAAAACCTTTCTTAAGTCTTGCAGGTGATCTTCTTTTCTCTTGGATTTGACAACCAAGTCGTCAACATAGCACTCTACATTTTTGTGTAGCATGTCATCAAAGATCTTTTGCATTGCTCTTTGGTAGGTTGCCCCAGCATTTTTCAATCCGAAAGGCATAACTTTGTAACAGTAGATACCTTTCGGTGTACGAAAGGCGGTTAACTCTTCGTCTTCAGGTGCCATACGAATTTGGTTATATCCAGATGATCCATCCATAAAAGAAAGCGCTTCATGTCCTGTCGTTGCATCAATCATCAATTCAGTTATGGGTAAAGGAAAATCATCTTTTGGGCATGCTTCGTTTAAATCTCGGAAATCCACACAAACTCGGATTTGTCCATTCTTTTTCTTTACAGGCACGATGTTGGAAATCCATTGGGGGTATTTGACTTCCCGGATGAACCCCACTTCAATGAGTTTGTTGACTTCATTTTCTATTTGAGGGATGAGTTCAGGACGGAATCTTCGTTGTGCTTGCTTCACAGAGCGAGCTCCTTTCTTCACACCTAGATGGTGGACCGCAACTTTCGGGTCTAAGCCGGGCATTTCTTTATATGACCAAGCGAAGACATCTTGGAATTCGTTGAGAAGTCGGATGTAGGCATTCATATCATCCTCACCCAGCTCTTTGTTGACATAGACAGGTCTTGGGTGATCTTCATTTCCCAAGTTGACTTCTTCTAACTCGTCCACTGCAGCTTTGATACCTTCTTCGAGCGCGGCGGGTGCATTTCCTGCATCTTCTTCAATCATTGTTTCTTCTCCCCCTTCAGTGATGTAGCAGGATGATGCAACACTTTCTTCATTATCTTCTTTGGGTTTGGTGAAGACAACGGTTTGCCATTTAGCCTTTAAAACTTTACCGCAATGTATCGTCATTTTTGTTTGACGCGTCATGCGGGATGGAAAGCGGCTCTTGATTTCTTCATCCATCTCCACATATTTTGTTGATGTGGAATTCGTCTTGTTTTTCTCTTTATTGATCTTTGGTCCTAACCTTGTGAAGACAGAAGGTTTTAGCCTCTCGAAAACCGATACTCTTGCATTCTTCCCCTTTTGAGGTGAATTGGAAGACAAAGTCTCGCTTTCGGTGATATGATGATTTGCAGCCCTTTTGATAGCGATGCGTACGGGAGCTTGTGGCATGTACCCAAGACCAGCCCTCGAACCTTGGGTTGTCTGTGGTGGTAACTTTCCCAGCAGTGATTCCTCATTTGGATTATATCCAGCTTTTGTGAGAAGTTTGTAGGCTTTTGGGCCAAAGCTTTTGTCCTTTTGCAATCGCATAGCCTCTATTTTTTCCTCTTTTCCATTCCTTGTCTGTGATGGGGGGATTGGGTTGAGTGGGGTCTTCGGAAGAGTCAAATCTTTTAGAGGCTCAATTAATGAGTCTGCAGAACCTGAGGCAGGTGTTTTTTCTTTATCTCTTAACTTTGCCCCCAAGTTTGGTTGTGGTGCTTTGACATCTTCATGTACCTTGGATTTTTTTGCTTCTGTAGAGAAATATTTGGCGTCCGCAAAGTGTGACTCGGCTTCTGCATATGGCTTTGTGTCTCCAAGAACTTTCTTTGTCACTCCATTTTGAGCGTATTTGAAGCATTGGTGCCACGTTGATGGAACTACACCATTCTCATGTATCCATGGTCTTCCCAAAAGAACGTTGAAAGATGTCTTTGCGTCTATCACGTAGAACAAAGGGTTAGTTTCCATTTCATCGATTAAGAGTCTCAATCTTATGGTGCCAAGTGCTCTTTGCCCCTCTTGATTGTATCCATGTATTGTCATACGACTCTCGAATAACTGATCTACTGGTATTCCCAATTTTTGCAATGTGTATAGAGGAAGGACATTGACTGCAGCTCCTCCGTCTAAGAATATCCGGTTAATCCTTTGTTCATGGATATAACCCACGACCAGTAATGGACGATTATGGGGTTTGGATCCTAACACCAAATCTTCATCAGTGAAAGTTATCGTGGCACATTCTTCACTCGATTTGTCTCTGATCGCCTTGCCACCTTTCTCGGTAGTGAGACAATATGATTCTTTGTCTTTTATGTCAACTTCGAGAGACCCGAACGTGATTGAAGTGACATTAACAGAAACAGAATCGTCTTCAAGGGTGATCTTTCCTTCATGAGCCAACTCCATGACTTTGTCTTTAAAGATGAAACAGTTATGGATGGGATGTCCTACGACACGATGGTATTTGCAATATCTTGGGTCATCAACCTTTCCAGCTTCCTCCGGTCTTTTTGAATTCGGAAGTTCAATGAGGTTTTCTCTGAGTAGATCGTCAAAGATTCCCGAGACGTCAGAATCCAGGAAAGGATAAGTTTTGGATTGCAACTCTTTAAGGGTTGGCCTTGGCGGTCTTTCTGTCTGAGTTGATTGTCTTTTCCTTGCAACTTCCTTTTCTTTACTTTGGATCTTCATAGGTGCTTTGGTCGTCGCTTTTATGGCCAAGGCTTCTTTTCCAAAAGACTTGATAGGGGCGTTGTTCCCTTCTTTGCGGCATCATATCTTTCGTATCTTTTTGCTTTTGAAGATTCTTGAACTGGTGGTCCGTGCATCCCGCTTGAAGCCATACTTAACTCCATGTCATGAGCGCGGGTAGCAAGTTCTTCGAAAGTGTGGGGTCGGATCCCTTGCAGGATATATTTCAACCCCCAGTGCATTCCTTGGACGCACATCTCTATACCGGAGGCCTCAGACAACCGGTCTTTGCAGTTCAAGCTCAAACTCCTCCAGCGGTTGATGTAGTCGATTGCTGGTTCATCTTTCCATTGACGAGTATTGGTGAGTTCTGTCATACTGACGGTCCTTTTTGTGCTGTAGAACCGGTTCAAGAACTCGTACTCCAACTGCTCCCAACTGTCGATGGAACCAGCCTCCAGGTCGATATACCAGTCGAAGGCGTTGCCTTTTAATGACCGTACGAACTGCTTTACCAAGAGATCGCCGTATGTCCCAGCGTTGTTGCATGTTTCCATGAAGTGTGCCACATGCTGTTTTGGGTTGCCTTTGCCATCAAATTGTTGGAACTTTGGTGGTTGATATCCCAACGGCATCTTGAGGGCGTCGATCCTTGAAGTGTAAGGCTTGGCATACATATTTGTTGGCCTTGAACTTCCTTCAAACTCCCTTTTGAGAGCTCCTTTGATATACTCGTCAAGTTGGGATAGATGGATGAAAGAATCAGATGATGCTTGAAACGGCATTGGTCCCGCCATTTTTTCTTTACCGTGGCGTTGATCCATGGATGTTTCTGCTTCATTTTGGGCCTCCGAAGCATTCTGGTTGGTTGGTTCCGGCTTGTCCAATTTTGCAAGCAGTTTTGCGATGACATTGTCTTGTTGCTGCATGTGTTGAGACATCCCTTCAACAACTTTGGCCAGTGCAACAAGTTGGTCTTCTATGTTTGAAGCGTTCGTGGTCATCACCGGGGCATAACTCGATGCAGTCGAACGAGTTGCAACTTCTTGAGGGGTGCCCGGTGCGGAAGTACTCTTGAAGCTTTCGTCTTCCTCATAGAGTGAGTTTTGCTCTGTGATTTTCGGATGTGCATCCTCGGAAAATGACAGTACTCTTTTAGCCATACTTCGTGTCATCACTCCAGCATTCATTGAAGCACTTGAGGTTCTTGATGTAGTAGCAGCGACTCCTTTGGCGGTGGCGGCTAGAGCAGTAGCTTTCGACACAGCATTGGAAGTCTTGATTTTGTAGGAAGCCATTGATCGTTTGAGAATTCGACGGAAAGAGAGATGAAAGGTAGAGTTGTCCCACTGGGCGTGCCAAAAATCTGTAGACAAAAAAATTGTTGTTATATTTTTTTATAAACACAAAATCGTACAAATTACATTTAATTTAATATATGCGGGTCCTATTCTCTATTTGGATCCTTTGATTCTCTCTCCGGGTCGATCCATTTTTCCAATTTGGATTTGGGTGGCTTCTTTGATCCGAAGGGATTTTGGTCTTCGGTTTGACTTCGTCGGTTTTTAGGAAACTTTGGTATCCGTGTTGGCGATTTTGATCGTCGACTTTGGATTGATGCCTCCTTTGGATGATCCGACGGAATTTGATCTTTGAGGGAGAGATTTAGTGCTCCATAACGCTTTTGGTGGCGTGTCCCTTTGACTTTTGGATCGAAGAGGGCCTAGTTTGCGTCTTTTATGAAGAACGCGACGAACATCTTCAAGCTTTGGGAGCGACTTTGGAGACTCTTCCTTGGCTTCGATGGATTCCTCGATAGCTTTGAGAGATTTGATCCTTTCCCCGGCTCGGACATACGACGAAGAACGTTAACTTCATCGATTCGTCAACCAATATTGGATCATTTGTCCAAATCGGTGACTTTTCGACGAAGAACGCTTCGAAGGACACGAAGAACAATGAAGAACATTGCAGAGAGTCTAGAGAGACTTACCCTTGCGCGAGTCTTCAAATGAACTTCGGTGTGTAAATGAATTGGCCAAGGCTCCTATTTATAGGGGAGGGTGGCCTTGGCTTCCTTTTCGGATAGTGCCACGTGGATGGAAAGATTTTATAATCTTTCCTTTTCCCTCGGATGCCGTTTTCCATTTTTGACGGATTTGATTATGCACCTTCCTTTCTCGTCAAAATCTTTATATCATTGCCTTTTTTGGAAGATATTAATTTATATACTTTCTTTATTGACAAGATCTTTATATCATTGCCTTGTTTGGAAGATATTAATTTATATACTTCCTTTATTGACAAGATTAATTTATTTTGCTGCCAAATTTATTATGGCTCTATTTATGCACGTAATATTTGTACGATATCTTCCATTTTAAGCAGATTTTGCACTAATGGTTGATATTTATTGTACAAAAATTAACATATGTGCATAATTAAATACCATATATTTATTTTATTGGAATTTTATTTTCTTCCAAAATACATGATATTTAATTGATTTTAGACATATATTTTTAGTGTCTACAATGTCTATATGAAAATCCCAGAAGGGATTAACATATCCGAATCATTCAAATCAAAGCCAAAAGAATCATATTCCATCAAATTGCAAAAATCTTTGTATGAGCTCAAGCAATCGGGCCGAATGTGGTACAATCGTCTCAGCGATAGCTTAACAAAAGAAGGTTACATAAATGACCTTATCTGTCCATGTGTTTTCATAAAGAAAAATGGGTCAAAATTTGTAATTATTGTTGTATATGTCGATGATCTCAATTTAATTGGAACTCTTGATGAAATCCAAAAAGCCGTTGAATATATGAAAAAGAAATTTGAGATCAAAGATTTTGGAAAAACTATATTTTGCCTTGGTTTGCAAATTGAACATTTTGAGAGTGGAATCTTTATCCACCAATCAAATTATACCAAAAGGGCACTGAAACAATTTATGATGGATAAATCATATCCGCTAAGTACTTCAATGATCGTCAGAGCACTCAATCCAATAAAGAATCCATTTAGACCAAAAGAGAAAAATGAATAAACACTTGGCCCAGATGTGTCATATATGAGTGCTATAGGCGCATTGATGTATTTTTTTAACAGCACCCGACCTGACATATCATTTGTTGTAAATTTATTAGCAAGATTCAGTTCATCGCCTACTCGACGACATTGGAACGGGATTAAGCACATTTTTCGCTATCTCCAAGAAACAATTGATCTCGGGTTATTTTACTCAAAAATTCTCGACATGAATTAATTGGTTTTGCCGATGCAGGATATTTATCTGATCCTCATAAAGCTAAGTCTCAAACTGACTATATATTCACTTGTGGCGAAACCGTGTATCCTATAGATCGATAAAACAAACTTTAACTTTCACTTCTTCAAATCATGCTGAAATATTGGCAATGCATGAAGTTAGTCGAGAATGTGTTTGGTTGAGGTTAATGACTCAACATATTCTGAAAAATTGTGGGTTAATACTTAACGATAAAATTCCTCCAACTACATTGTATGAAGACAATACAACTTGTATAACATAATTAAAAGGGGTCACATTAAAGGAGATAGAACGAAACATATTTTACCAAAATTCTTTTTCCACTCATGATTTACAATAGAATAGTGAAATTAATGTTCAGCAAATTCGATCAAATAATAATTTAGCGGATGTATTAACCAAGGCATTACCGACTGTAACATTTGAAAAATTGGTAAAGAAAATTGGAATGCGTCGGTTCAGGGATCTCAAATAATGCTCAAATCAGGGGAGAATTAATACAAGAATGATGTACTTTTTTTTTTTTTTTTTTCCTTCAATAGGATTTTTTTCTAATAAGATTTTAACGAGACGCATTCTTTGTATAAAAGCATCGAAGGAGAGTGTTGAACACATCGTGCCTACATATCATATAACTATACGTATCAATTATGGATGCATTTATGAATTTATGTAGGCAAATACGTCGTAACTACGTGTACAAGTTTTAAATTCGAATTACTTCATAATAAAGAATTCTATGCCTATATATATTAGGTAAAAGAACGAATAAAAATATACATACATCAATTCACTTTTTCTCCATTGCCAACATTCAATATCATCATTGTTCATTATACATAATATACATATATGCAAACGCACACACAAACATCCCTCTATATATATATACATATATTATTATTATTATTATTATTATATATTTAAGCTATATATATATATCTACGTTAGCCTATTCTACATAATTTTATAATAATATCGGAACAACAAGTATATTTTCCCTTCCCCTCTTTTTTTCTCAAATCAAAAAAATCCCCAAGACAGCACAGCGCGGATGCGCGTCGGCGTATATCGAATCAAATAGATATTAAAATATAAATAAATAGAATAGATATCAAATCAAATAATTATATATATATATAACTAATCAAAATTATTTATGGTAGACGAAAGTCCATCGGGTAGGTTTTGTTCCAAGCCGGTAGCGATTCGTCACCTCTTTCGCCGCTCCTTCGTAGCCGTCCTCTCCTCTCTCTATATAAAGAATTCGTCGTAGCCGCCGCCGTCGCTGACTCCTCCTCCTCCGCCTCCGCCATCAGCTTTCCCTTGTATGTTTCTCGCCGATAATTTTCATCGGTAAGCCCTTGGATTTCTCAATCGTCTTGCGAGAGAGAGAAAGATAAGATTACACTCTGCCTTATCTCAAGGGTTTACTTTTTCGTTATTCTGATTCGATTTTTCTGGTTTTCGGGTTGAGAGCAGGCACAGAACATTGATTTGTATCGCGTGGGTTCTTTCCTGGCTATTTATATTTTTATTTTTAAATTTTGTGCTGCATCAGATCTTTGTTTGATTTCGATACCAGAATAAAAGAGAATCATCGTTTCTTTCTTTCTGTTGAAGTTTTTGGAGCGAGGGGCTTCGCGATTTGAAAACCCACGGATTCTTGCCTTCTTAAATTTGGCTTGTGAATTTGAGGGTTAGGGTTAGGGTTTTCTAGAACGAAAACCCACTTCTAGGCTGTGCCTGGTACGTGCGTCGAGGTTCTGTTTGCTCAAACTAGGATCAATGGCGGCGGGAAGGCATGGGGGTTACAGAGACAATGAGTTTAGAGATCGCGAGGCGGATTTGGTGATGTCGAGGAAAGAAATTGGCTATTCCAAAGGAGATTATGATAGAGTTTGGAAAGGGGATCGTGAGTATGAGAGGGGTAAGGGCAGGGGTAGCCATGGATACAAAGGTAGGATGAGGCAGAAGGATGTGAAGGAAAGGGATGTCTCAAATGGAGGATATCACTCTGCTCATAGTCGGAGTGATTCGGGGAGTAGTGGTGGGGCTTATAAGAGGTTTGGGTTTGTAGTTCAAACCATTGATCGAGAGCCAGGTGAGCTTTCTAGTGATGGGTCGGATGGGGTTATTGATTCAGGAGCACAACAGAATATTGGGATTGAAGCTAAAGTAATGGAAAACAATGATCAGGTGTCTAAGAAGAGAAAGTTTTCTCCAATTATTTGGGATAGAGATGATAGGAAGGTTGGTCAAACAGAGAAAGCAAGAAATAACTTGGGAGGCAATGATCTTCCACCTCGCCCCCCTTTGGTCGAGTCTTTAGATGAGTTGCCTAATTCTAACTCTTCTCAGGGTGCTAACTTACAAAGTGCAACAGAAGACGACATCGAGGTTCGTATTCTTGAAGCTTCACCTTCTAAACTTGTTGCATTACCTTGTTTGTCAGAATTTCCATCTGAAACATCATCACTGCCTGAAGAAGAGGAATCTAATGGACATCACCTGCCAACAGAGGTAATTAATGACAATGATTATGTTCCAGCACGAACAATAATATCATCTCGCTGGGCAACTGATGCGGATTCTTCGGCCGATGAAGGAGAGATTTCTGATTATGAAGACAGGCAGAAATTGACTAGAAGGTCTGGTTCCGAGTCTGCTGAAATAAGGGGACAAAGGAAATCAGCAACTCCAGAGCTCGGGGAGGTTAGAAGAGACGGTTCTGAAGGAGCCAGAGCGAGATCGTCTGAATCAGATGAACGGATTAGATCTTCAAGTAGAGATAGTTACCGTGACAATGATGACCACAGTGACTACATGGAGATAGATGATGATTGTAAAGCTAGTCAGTCTGACTCTGAGTATGAGGATGATCGTGATTCTAGTGGCTCGTCCAAGCAGGGCCATCCTCCACAGAGGAGTTTCAATATGCTTCAAGGTTGCAGAAGTGTTGATGAGTTTGAGAGACTGAATAAGATAGATGAAGGCACTTATGGAGTTGTTTATAGAGCCAAGGATAAGAAGACAGGCGAGATTGTTGCACTGAAGAAAGTCAAGATGGAGAAAGAGAGAGAAGGATTTCCTCTGACTTCTCTCAGGGAAATAAACATTCTTCTTTCTTTACATCATCCTTCCATTGTGGATGTTAAAGAAGTAGTTGTTGGGAGCAATCTTGATAGCATTTTCATGGTCATGGAGTACATGGAACATGATCTGAAAGGATTGATGGAGACAATGAAGCAACCTTTTAGTCAAAGTGAAGTTAAATGTCTCATGCTCCAACTCTTAGGGGGTATCAAGTATCTTCATGATAACTGGGTGCTGCACAGGGATCTGAAAACTTCAAATTTGCTTTTAAATAACTGTGGTGAGTTGAAGATCTGTGACTTCGGTTTGGCACGCCAATATGGAAGCCCTTTGAAGCCGTACACTCACATGGTTGTTACGCTATGGTACAGGTGAGATTCTTGCTTTCACTTATTTTTTCACCCATCCATGTACCTGCCTTTCTTCTTCTAGTCATTCTGTACTCTGTATCATAAACTATGGTTGTGGGGTTTCATGCTGTTGTAAGTATTGTAAATTAGTGGTTTATTTTTATTATTATTTTTTATTTTGTGCTGATCTCAGATTTTTGTTTGTGCAACAAGGGAGAGTTTGTGCTGTTGGAAATGAACTTCTCATTGTGATGATATTTTTGTGTTGATTGCATTTATGTTGCATAATGTGTAAACTAAGTGTCTTAATCTTCTAGGGCACCTGAACTTCTTTTGGGAGCTAAACAATATTCTACGGCAATTGATATGTGGTCATTGGGATGCATAATGGCTGAGTTGTTGTCCAAAGAACCATTGTTTAATGGCAAGACTGAGGTTGATCAGCTTGACAAGGTGAATTTCTTGATGCGTGATTACTAAGTTGATCAATTTGTTCCCAGTTATTGAAACAGAGCATTAATATGTTGTCCTAACCACATTGGCCTGTTATGCTTCAGATATTCAAGATTCTTGGCACTCCAAGTGAGACAATATGGCCTGGCCTTTCAAAACTGCCTGGAGCCAAGGTGAATTTTGTCAAGCATAAGTAAGTACACGTATCTTGTACTTTGTATCTTGCCTTAGACATCCCCAAATTCATGTTCTCTTCTTTTTGTCGCTGTGTTTACCAGGCATACCAGCTTTGGGTGATTTTGGTCTGCCTTTCCTGCCTATATTGCAAGTGTCAATTTGAGCAACCATCGTGCTACTTCTAACCACTGGAATTCTTTTTCAGGTACAATCTATTGCGTAAGAAATTTCCAGCAACATCTTTCACTGGATCACCTGTACTCTCTGATGCTGGGTTTGACCTTTTGAACAAGCTTTTGACTTATGACCCTGAGAAGGTATAATTGGATGACTCTTAATTTCATAGTTTATTTAGTTGGATTTTGTGTCTGATTGAAAATGTGATCTGTGCAGCGGATAACTGCCGACGCAGCTCTCAACCATGAATGGTTCCGGGAGGTGCCGCTGCCCAAGTCAAAGGAGTTCATGCCCACTTTTCCTGCTCAACATGCACAAGACAGGTAATGGTACTATCAAATGTAATTAGTGTTGCTTATATATTTATAGACTCATGTTACAGTGTTTCATTAATATTACGATTCAGGCGAATGAGAAGGGTAATGAAGAGTCCTGATCCATTGGAAGAGCAAAGGAGGAAGGAACTACAAGGAGGATTAGGCAATGGTGGTTTGTTTGGCCAATAACACCAAGATCCAAGATGCAGTCTTCACTTGATTAAACACGAGAGGTATGAGCAAACTGGAAGGCTGCAAACAAAGTCTGTGAGGTTTCCACTTCCACTCTTTATCAGGCATCTGATGATTTAGGTGGACGGTCTTCATAATGTACTTGTGAGTCAGTTATGATGCAGGTTGGGTTGCTGGTGGTTTTCTGAATATGGGAATGCACATTTGTTACCACTTTCCTGAAAGGTGTGGCACAAGGGTGTTCCCTATTATAAATTTGTTCTGGTTAACATTGTACTTGTAACATATTTGATGCTGGAACCCCTTGAACTCTGATATTGATATTGATTATTGAATCAGATTGCTTATATGCTCTTAGTGCTATCGGTTTTAATTGTGATATTGTGTTTGCAAGAAATGGTGTAAGGTGGAGTGGACATTCCTAGCTTTTCATTGCTGAAGAATTTGACAAAGTATTGCAGTCTAGAGGTAAACATTCAATCTTGCTGCTCGGATATGTAACCATGGATGAATAACATGCTCTATCTATGTTCTATGGTTGAGGGGCTGTATGTAGTACTATTATTTGTGCATTTTTGTGTGATGTGTTGTAATTGGTGAATGCACATGCTATATTTTCCATTTTTCTCTGGAAGTTATGGGAATGAATATTAATGGTTTAGAATATGGGTGTGTTCTTTTAACTAAAATTCATGCACACGTTTTCCAAAAAATACTAATATATCACACACATTCATTATTTTTATATTTCCTATGCAATTCCCCATACCTCACATCAAATAATTTCCTTTCAAATTATCTCACAAAACAAATGGCCAAGAGAAATTTCTCATTTATTGTTTTTACCACGATTACAGTTCGTTTGGCATATATTGTGGCTGGTTTTTCCTGTTCCTTGTTAGTTGAGTTTTAGATTTAGGACCATGTTTTTGTTCCCAATATATGTGTGTCTATATCTATATATATATATATATATATATATTTCAGATCAGAATGTTGTGTGTCATAGTAAGAAGTAAGCTTACATGATGTCATGTGATAAGGTTGCTGAATTCTACTTGTTGGGAATTTTATTTATTTATTTATTTTAAATGACCAAGAGAAATTTCTCATTGTTTGTTTTATTTACCTCAATATGAGATTTGTTATTATATTGTCTACTTTTTATTTTGTGATGGTTGTTTTGCCCTTTCCTTGTTGGTTGAGTTTTAGATTTATGCCAATTTTTGCTCCCAATATACGTGTACATCTATATATTTCAGATCAAAATGTTGTGTTTCAGAGTAGGGAGAGAACTTATGTGACTATTAATGTGAATAAGGTTGTGAATCTTACTTATTGGGAATGTTAATTCATTTATTTACTTTGCTATTTAGGAGCACAAAATCCAGAAGTACAATATCCAAAATCCACAGAGTAGAGAATACTGTGAGATATACTTGGCTGCTTTATTCTTATTTGTTTTGACAATTTTATGTGTACAGAGATGAATATCATCGCTTGTTTCTTGTGATGTTGCTCGGGGTATACAGTGTGTCAATGGCTGTAAACCTCAATGACATTCACCTAAACTGTCACTGCAGTATCCCTGTGCAAGCCAAGCAGGTTGAGGAGCTCACTTAGCTCTCGTATTAATTTATTTTTGGACTTGTCTTCTGATCGATGAAGGCTTAGAGGTACTGGGCCGCGCTTTTACACACACTCGGTATGACATTTTACTTGATCCCAAGCATGTGTTGGGAAATCTATTATACAAAGATGCCTTTAGATATATGATTACTATTGATGCTGTTTTGAAACTGAGATTGAACATATGAAAGTTATACATAGGCATGGATTGAATCAATTCAATCCTCTGATTATATAAGTTCTGTATATCAGGGGTGCGTTTGTTAGGCTTTTGAATAGTAAAATTTGAATTGGAATAGTTAGCTTAATATGATAAATAGGTGGACTTATAGAATATAAAGTTTAATATTTAATATATAAACATTGTCCAGCTCTATTTTATTAGCACGAAATGACTCGATTATTTTAATTTATTATACCAAGAAAATCAAGATGGGACTATGTTTGAAAATTGAATCCATTGTTACAACAAAAATGCTCACTGAAATTGGCCACCACAGCAGAAAATGCAAGATTTATTATCAATCCACATCTGGCAAGAAAACAGCAGAAGGGCATGGTGGCCTCCCAATAGAGGACAGAGGTTCTTCGGTTACAAGTGGTGGTTTCAAAATTCTGATGAACGAAAATGTCGAAGTGCAATTTAAATGGAGTCCCCGGTAATGGCAAATTAAATAAAAATTCGTTTACTCGACCGGAAATGAAGCATCGGATTTTCGCTACGTGATCTTCGGCTTTCTCCTTCGCTCACGGCTTGGTACAGTTTTTTTTTCTTTCTTGTTACGGTTTCGTGTTCTGGATTATGGAGGTGCCCTGGAATTGATTTTGAAAGCAATTAAGGAATTTGATTTGAATCGATTAGTATTTGGTCAGCGTAGTGTAGAATCGACGTCGGACAAACATGATTGAAGATGTCCAAACATGATGCTTCGCCATTGCGCAATTAAGTGATAATAGCTTTAACCAAAAAGTATCCAACGGCCATGAAAAAGACGGACGTATGTATTACCTCTGTTTTGTGATGTTAACTGTGCGGAAAATTTATTGCCTAAGAATAGCATTTTGAGAAATAGTTTAGGCATCATCCACGTGTAGATTAATTACCTGTAGACAATGTTGAGGATAAGGAAGCAAATGGTGCAGCCGGGAATGATTGATTCACGGTGATGGTTTGATGACTTGTAATCCTTGTAATTTCAACATGGAACACCTATGGAGAAATTGAAGAATGCAAAAGGATATCAGGTTATATCTGAAGATGGCTTGACTGAATTTGTCCTAGCCATTGTTAATGTGGCATTTCTACTGCATGCACATTCAAATCCTCTTTACTTGATTCAATGTGAATCAGACTTGGATGACGAGAGCTGATATATATAGCCAAAATCGCTCTTGTAGTTTATTCTTCATGTTAACTTCATTAAGGTAGTAAGTAGATAGAATGCACAAATTCCTGCAATTTCTGTCGTTTTACAGGTTGATTAGCACATTGTTCCTAAAATAGTGTCTTTCTAAACATATTTCTGTCATTTCTTCTACTCATTCAAGAAATGGGATTGGTGTTTTTGCTAACAACCATTATAAGCGCCATATATGGTTTATGTCAACAGTCTCCCAAAGATATGACCCCTTGCAGGTATCCTGATGAAGAATGCCAGTCAAAGTACAGTAGATGACTCAGATATCTTGGGTTTTGAGGTCCAACAAGTTTAAAGTTAATCACCCAATCCTTCTCCCCAAATGATGTCTACATCAGGCGGCTCCATGCAGACTCGTTTGATGGTATTCCATATTGATCTGAATCATCTGAAATAGAAGAATGCTTCAAGTAAGGTTTTGATCAAGGAATTAATTAAGATAGTATTTAGTTTAGAATTCAATTATTCAAGTCATAAAATGGTGTATCCATTATGCTCTTCTTGTGCAAGATCATGGTTCTCTGTAAATGTTTCAATTAAGCAATTTCTGGATGTTACAGCTCACGTTCAATTTATGTAAAGATCTCTTTAATGGTATATATGAAGTTCATATTAAAAAACTGTTACGATTAATCTCCCTTAATTTATCGAGAGCTCATGTGATCAGGAAGTTCAAATTATGCCAGGAAAATGGATTGATAAATCACTGAAATTGTAAGAAATTAACTTAATGCATGCATATATATATATACACACATACTTAGACACGCCACAGGCGAATACATGTTATATTTAGTCTAGCAAAATTTGGGTAGAGGTTAGGAGCATCTACCTTTCAGATTGAGATGCTGTTTGGAATTCCACGACCAGTTACACCAGGAGAAGAGGAGGGTAAAAGTAATTCATATGGAGGAACTCCTGCACCGCTTCTGTTTTTCAGTTGTGCGTTGCTATTCCTGTTGTGGATAATCCTTTCTATCTCCCCTAACTTCACAGAGAAGTTGTCAAATAGTTTCTGAACTTCAGGATCATTACAGAACTGCCGGTGAATATCATGCACCTGATGTAGATACTCTTCATCTGGCGAATGAGTTGACAGGGTGTCTTGGACAGCCATGATTTTGGTGGCCTGGAGTTGTGTTGGCAAAGAGGTCAAGAAAGTATATTCAGGGTTCTGAAGTAGTTTCTGATAGTCGCCATCACCTTCTCTAGGGATTAGTTTTCGCATGAGAGTAGGACGGTTAGGTGGATATCCCCCGAATGGATACTGGCCAAAGTTTATGGCTGCATGTTGACCTGAAGCAACCCAAATCATTGTCGTGAGTATGTTTGATAAATCATCTTGGGTAGTCAGGTTAGGCCACCATGGCTCATTTCTTTTTTCATGGTGTCCAACATTCTTGATCTCATTCCACCAGGCTTGAAGTTCCTCGTCACCTGAGACGGAGTTAGACTCAGAGTAGTAGTGGTCAACATAGGATTCTACTAATTCCTTAATGGCAGACCATATGAGAAGTCCATCTGCTGCATAGGGATAATCTTCAATCACTAGTTTGACTCCACCAGGTGCTGTTGGATCCTCAACAGCCATACCCCTGCAAGATTATTTCATGAAAAGGTACCGTTTATCTATCTGGATGAGTACAAACCTGATAGTGTTGATTAGGTGATGAGAACCAGGAGGAGAACAACCACTTTACCTATGAAGTAAATCTGCTGGTAAAGCTTCCCTGTCGAACTGCCATAGGCTCTTGTAGGCAGCGGAACTTACCTCAATGGCATACTTTTCTGGGCTGAAACAAGCCTCTATAATCCCACCCCCACTTATCAAACTCTGCCTTGCCAGGGCATTGATTTCCATAGTGTACCTCATATGAGGGTGTAGAAGTTTATAGACCGGGTGCATTGAGCTAAGCTGCCGGTGTGTGGCTATTATATAAGGCTCCATACAGGCGTGAGTTCTCATCCTGAAAATATCATGTTTCAAGGTTTTTGTGTGAATTTGAGCAGTGAATGTTTGACTTAGGTTCCCAAGGATGATAATCAAATTGTAGACCTACCAGTGGTTCACAAGTTGATGAACTCCTGCATCATTTGAACAAACATGGGCTTTAGCTAGCTTCCATATCCATGCGGTTGTAGCATCATGCCCATGCCGATGGATGGTCTTGTTTCTTGGAGAGGAGGGTGTAGGTGGTAGCGAGAGTTCGATCATGATAGGTATGAGACTTCCAGTTTCAGAATGGTATAGTACAGTTCTGGAAGCATAGGCTTTTCGGTTGGGTAAGGAGTTGATCTTATCAATAAATGGCAAAAGTAAGTCGTGATAATCGATTATGAACAGCTTCTTCTCCTTGAGTGCCTGCACTAACATCAATAGAAAATCTGTAGTCAAACACTTCTTCACAAAATTAAATGGTTGGTGTAAGCGCCTCAACACAAGCTTCTAGGCATTTTTCAGTGTTTAAGCACGATGTAACATCCCTTGATATGTTTTTGTTCTGTGATTACCTCATCAACACTGATCCCATTAAGCTCTTTTGCTATTAATTCCTTGGTGATTGCAGATTCAGGAGGACCGTATATTGCAGGATCCAATTTGCTTGTGATAGGGAATTCCTGTGAATGATCAGATCCCCTTTTATAGTGACTTTCCATCAACAGTTGATAGATGCACAACAAACTCATGCTCAGATTAAAGATTCTACCTTTAATAGCTCAATATTCACAGGGTTCACCCCGGCCAAAGTCTGTCGAGCAAACTCATTATCCCTTAGCCAAGAAAATCTGTCTCCTGAAAAGCAAGGTAAATCACTAAGTAAATGGATGCAAAGCATAACCTTCTCAAAGGAAGGTTAGATTGCTTACGCTTTATGATTGCCGGTACATCATACTTTAGTATGTTTTCACCAATGTTCAATATTTTATTCAAAACATTGGCCAGGAACTGGTTCTTCTGGACTCCTTCTGTCTCTTCTTCTTTCAACTGGACGCCATCATTGTATAGATTGTCTATATCGGAGAAGGTGGTGAAGGGAACATCAGAACTTGACAATGTGGCAGCAATCAATGGAATCAGGTTGTGTAACAGAGCTTTCAACTTCCCAGCTGAAAAGGTACTCTGCTTAATCTCCTCAAATGTTTCATCTCGTGGTACATAAACTGGATGAGGCTTCTCGATCCTAGTCTCGGTATCAGGGTCTGGTTAACAGTTAGTTATACACACAAACTTTAGTACACGAGCATATAACTTGGTTTCAATAGATAGATCTGTGCTACATACATGATTTAGTCGGGTTTCTGGTTAAACCTTAGTACATGATCATATAACTTGGCTTTGGTAGATAGATGTGTGCTATATACCTGATTCAGTCGGGGGTCTACCCGTTCGACATCGCCTAGGATAGGGCCTCTCTTCCGTGCCTGCTACAGGCCTAGCTAACTCCTCACTCTTGTCAGGATTCCCCAAATCATTGTAGACATCATAATCATATATTCTTTCATGCATCTTCCTCTCACCCTCCCCCGTTCCACGGAGGCTGGACAAGTCTTCTTGTCGAAGTGCCTTGATGCCGGCTGGGGTTTGAGAAGGCAGATAAGCCTGTCACCAAATCACCTAGATAAGAAAAAAAACAGTTCTATTTTCTTCCCAGGTAAACTAAATCGATTCTTGCCTGATTCTTGAATATAATTCTACTCTGGGAATTGTCTTGTTTTGAGTGAATCCATGTATCCGCCCAGAAAAAGATTGGTCCCTGACTAAATCCATGAACTACAATCTCCATTAGACAGAACTCCTTGTCATGGTGATTTGCAACCAGGACTGCTCCTGGCTGTCCAAAATCCCGTGGGACGGTCAAATCAGCACTGTACTCAACCACATATGGATCATCTGATAGCTTTGGGAACCAACCCCTCACAAATGCTTCGGCACTGGTCTTTCCTGATTTGGTATCTGAGAAATATATATATATATATTATATATACCTTTCCTGATTAGGATCATTGCAGATAGAAAACAAATACTCATAGGGTACAAAAACGATGTCCTATCATATATTTTCTTTAGATCAATTTTATTTTTCCCTGGGAAATGATGGATTTTGTGTACAAAAATTTGAGGGTGAGAGGGTGAATCAAACATCATACCAGGATCAATATCCTCACTTATGAGCTGAATCTGAATTCCTCTGCCAATCCCATTAACGACCCATTCCCACCCATCCTCTATCTTCTCTGTCAGCCTTTCCTTCATTTTCTTCCTTATTTTGATGGCTATCCTGACATTGATTTTCCCCTGCCTCCTTGAAGAAGAAGGCAATAATTTCTCAGTATGTGGAGACTTCTCTGCTGTTTCCACTCCAGCCTTGCTATCTCCACTACTGATCACTGCCTTCAATATAGGTCTTCTTTTACTGAGCTTTGGCCGGAGCCTGGATGAGGGGCCTCCTTTCCTCCCCAGTATTTGGTCTTTCCCAGAGCCGGAGAACGCCTCTGGCCGCCGGAGGCTGGTGGGATTTGGCTGAGCTGTGAGCACATCCATTTTTGTTAAGAGTCAAGAATTAGTTTTGGTAGTGGAGAATTGAACTGTGTGAGGGGAAGGTTGGGATCATTATTAGAATTGTCAAGAGAAGAAAGTAAGTGGAGGGTACCCCCATGTGTGGCGTGGATGTGGAATTATGAAAAAAAGCACACTGTTGTTTTCACAGCTTATTTTATGTCAAGTGTTGTCAGAACACTATGAAAAATAATATGGGATTGGTGAGGCCCAAGATTGTGACGAAAACAGTGAAGTTCTGTGAGGTTGGGGGGACTTGTTCTTGGATGGTGTGGTGTGTACAGAAAGTTGTGATAAAAGAAATGATGCATGCCAAAGGTTATACGTGGTCCTTCTGTCCGTTAAAATTAATCTATTTGGACTTGGCACGAAAATTAAAAAAAATAAATATTTTATTAAAAAAGTAATAGATAGTTGAGATATTTTTGAAAATTAATTTAAAAATAAAATAAATGAAGAGATATAATGTAATAAAGTTGATGGTATTTGTTATAAATAATAATTTGAAAATTAATAATGTAGGATAATAATTAAATGTTAATTTGTTAACTTTGTCAAAATTAGTAATGAGATAAATTAGAGGACAGACTAGACAGGAAAATAAAAATAAATTTGGCGGACAAAGTAAGTATTTTAACCATGGTAATGTAGAAAAATAATGTGCAGAATAGTAACTTATGCAGACAAGATGATAGTTTTTCTTCACGGCTGGCTGGTTGGGTGAAGCAGATGATGCAAAAATGCACCGCCACATTCCTGTGAGTATTTTAAGAAAAGTATTTAGAATTATTATAATATGATTCTCAAAAGTTGTTTTTTATTATATTTTGGGGCAATTGATTACTGTGGTTATTTGTTATGCCTCTCTTTCTGAAACTTAGGTGCTGTACTATCATCATTTAGGTAATCTTTCCTATGAACTAACAACGTCCTCAGTGATTCTTAGCAGCAAAAAATTTTATATTTCAACAATATTCATTGATGAAGAAAAAAATAAAAATAATAATACTTAAAAAATCCAAATAAATAAAGAAGTTTATTTGCTTTCTATGATATGTGTCAGTTGGCAATTTCGTATATATATATATATATATATTATTCACACACACACACATGAATCAATCAAGTAAACATTTTAAATTACAAAATGAGACAGCTCATCCATAAGAAGAAGTCTATCTGGTCAACACTGCAGCATTCATTATTTATATGTTTGTTAACTTTCATCAATTGCTTTGTTTAATCCTTATACGGTGTGTTCGTTTGGGGTTTCGGATTTTGAGTTGGGATTTGAATAGTAAAAATTTTGAATTTGAATAGTTGTATGATGTAATATAAATAGGTGTTGATGTGATATTTTGAATGTAAAATTGATTTTTAGTATAATATAAAAAATAAAAAATAGGTGTTTGATTTTATGTTTTTAGGGAAAAATTTTTGGATGAATAACAGAATTTTGATAAAATTCTTCAAAAGAACAAACAAATTTCTTTCACTCTGTTTGTAAAAGGTTTTGTACTTTGGGTTTGAATTTTTTTTAAATGGATAAAATTTTAAATTTAAATAATTGTTGATGTAATATCAATATGTGTTATGTTTTGAATGTACAATAAAATTTTAATAAAATATAAAAAAAATATTTAATTTGATATCTTTGTATAAAAAATTAATTGAATACTGAATTATTTAAAAAAAGTATTAAAAATTAAAGTATTAGATATGATAAGTTGTGAAAAGACATGCATTTGATGCATATTTGAAAAAATATTATTAATAAATAATGACCATCTTGTTCATTTTGTATCTTTGATGTATTGTATTTTTTTTTTTTTTATATATTATATTAATGTATGTATGTACTGTTTTTATTTTTTTAAAATACAATGAACGCACTCTTTCCTCTTAGAGTCGAACCCGGGTTATAACCTAAGCAAGAATGCCTCGACACTTTTTTTAACCACATGGCAAGGGAGCGCTCAATAAGCTATACATTATCGGCAAGGAAGCTCCACAATCTACAATAATTTAACGTACTTTTATCATTATTATAATAATAATAAAAACAAATTATATAATATTCTTTGTATTTTAGTTGTTTTGTTTATTGTATAATTTTTTTTTGTATTAAATTGAAGTACGCCGATAAAATAAAAAAGGTAAACATACGTCATATTATGTAAATTTTTATCAATAAAAAAGATAAAATATTTTAAATAATATTTTTTTTGAATAAAATAAATAAATAATAATTTATTAATACTTTATTTAATAATTTTTTTGAAACAAATTGTTACATAATTTTTACAAGTAAGAATTATAAAGTAAATAATAGATCACTTATTATACATTAATTTTATTAAAATAAAATTATTTAAAATATTTTATTTGTATAAATCTTTTATAATTAGGTGCATGTTAACATCAAGTTTAAATGGAGAAAATATTTTTTCAATACTTCAATTTAACATAATAAAATCTTACTTAGAAATAAAATATGAAATATTATGTTATTATGTAGTTTTATTTTTTTTTATATATTTTACTTTGTGTGAAGGGCCTGAAGGGGCATAGATAGGACTGTAAATGGGTCGGATCTGATCCGAATCTTAGAATTTCAGCTTTGGATCTGCCCTTTTAATTCGATTCCCAAATCCGTTTTTAGATCGGTAAGAACATTAAAATATAAACCGAATCCGGCCCAGTCAAATCCGATGTCAGATTCAATACCCGTAGACCAAATTTAAAATAACCTTGAAAAAAAAAATTGCAGGTCTTACAACGGCTTATAGTATTTGTTTTGGATGAAATGAAGTAGAGCAGAAATTTTAGATTTATAAAATATGATATAAATTTTTAATTGTGTAATAGAATATATAATTATATAATAAATAATAATATATAATATATAGTATCGGATCCGGGTCGGTTCTGCATCGGAACCATAAATACCGAATCCTGTACCATATAATACGGCTTCGGTTTTGAAATCAGATCCGGGTTTTAATTGAATTTCGGATCCAAACCAGATGACGGATCCAATTGACAGCCCTCGACGTGAAGGATAGGGGTCCGAGGATTTCATCTCGTATGATAGATATTGACTTGGACTTAAATTTCTATTTAATTTTATCTTTCACGAAATTTTATTTATTTATTTTTTAGGTGTTATTAAGAAAAACAAGTTGATATTTCTAAAATTCTTTTAGGTTTTAAATGGGTTTTAAAATTTTATGTTGCAGTAGTTGCCACTTCAATCACAAATTTTTGTTCATTTTTTTTGATTTTTTCATTCATGCTCTAATTGTCACAATTTTCCTTTATTATGTATATTTTTTTTATTTAAAATGGATTTTTTTTTTTGTTTTTTCTTTTGTAATGCAAGAATCAATTGTCTAGTGCATTCTCATGGAATTTAACAATTTATAAATTAGACCATTAAAATAAGTTAATTTTGTGTAGTAGACAAAATTTAAAGATATTGACAGTTCAAATTAATAATGTTACCGTCACAAATTTACATCTGCACCATTAGACATCTTTTACGGGACTGAATTGAGAAAGCTTCAATTGTATCGTGTGTGGAATGTGTATTCCTCATGAATTATATATTTTTTTATTTCTTTCGTTATGTAGATGATCCTGAGATAATATAAATTAAATAAATAAAATATTGTTACTTTTTAAGAATTTTTGTAATACCATTTTTAATTTTTTTTTCTGTACCACCTGTCCAATTTTTCGTAAATACAATAATTTAGATAAAATATAATTATTAAATAATTAATAAATGTATTGATAAAAATAATTATTATATGTGAAAATATTTATATATTAAGATTAAAATAAATAATTAATTTAATTAAAATTTTAAAAAATTGTTGATTACAAAATTTAAAATATAACTAGTGTATAATCATTTTTTTTTTCTAAAAAAAAAGTTATCTGATATGAATGAAAAATAAAAATAGTAGAAAAATAAGATGTGGAATAAAGGAAGTAATATTTTCTACCTAGCTACGTGTCTAGTTATATTAATATCTTTTTGTTTTTTATTATATAATGTAAAACATTTGAAATTTCTATAATTTTACCTTTCTATATACAAATTTTATTAATTGACTATGCATTTAAGGTTTTATTTGTTGATATTTTAAATTAAAATTAATATTATTTACTATGCGGAGTTTTCAGCAAAATAATATTATTTATTTTCGTAAAATATGATATTAAAATATTATTTGAATAAAAATTTAGATCAACATTTTATTTGAAATCAATTTCAAACTATTTTAATAAAAATAAATTATTTTTTATCATAAAAATATTACATAAAAATATCAAAATTTAAATTACTATCACAATTTCAAATCAAAACTAAACAAATCCCAGGTGAATACATAAATAAAACTATAAAAGTTATACTCTCATTGTCCATAATTTTAAGTCCACTTTTTAGGAAAAGTTATACTCTCGTTGTCCATAAATTTAAGTCCACTTTTTAGGAAAATTTTATGAATTATTATTTATATTTATTTATTTATTAATTTATTTTAAGAGATCGTAGAGAGGTAAGAGTGCGTTTCTTTAGGTTTTGAATATGAAGTTTTTGTAAATAACAAAAATTTAAATTGAAATATTTTTTAATATGATATAAATAAATATTTTATATATTATTGTGAATAAAAATTATGTTTTCATATATTAAATAAAAATAAATATTGAATTTGATGATTAATAATGAATAAATTGAAACTAGATCTTTAGATAAAATGGCTTTGATTTTTTATATTTAGATATTTTTATAATTAGAATTATTATGGAATGTAATAGTGATATATTATATAATAAAAACTACCTTACGCTCCCCTCCCCTGCTACAAACAGTGCAATTATAAAAATTTGTAATATTTATAATGTATATGAATTTATTTACGATTTTTCAATAATATATACAATTATTTATATATAATTAAGTGCAAAATAATAAAAAATTGATCATTTGTTAATTTTACAATTTTTTATTAATTTTTCATATGGTTTCTAATAATAAATAGTATTTATTTTAACAATAAATTCCATTAAACTATTATTTAAAAAACAATAATAATAGCAAAACAAACACAAATTCATAGCTAAAA